CCTAGAATCTTGAGGAATTAGTAAAGACAATGTGATTTAATGGCAATAAGGTTAAATTTAAGTGAAGACAATGATGGGAGACTTAAGAAACCATTCATAATGAATTGATCATATATTAGGCTGATGGATCTATAATATCATGAATAATATTGGGATTTGTATATGAGAGATGATCAAGCAATACAATTGGAAATCGTCAAATTTGATCTATGGAAGTCATGAAGGAATTTAAGAAGAGCTTATATGGAGATGAGATGAAAAATAATGATGAGGCTTATCAAAAGCACTATTATTATGAATATTATCAAAATGAAGAAGATAAAAATGAGAAAATATGATAACCATAGACATTATTTAAACTACAATAACTATCAAAAGTCCATTAATCAGTTTCTAATCTACTAATTACAATTTATTAACATTAACGTATATCTTCTAATAGTCCCATCAACAAAGCCTAACATTAAAAAGAAGATGTGACATTTTGAATAATCTTTAAATCCCATTATGAAGATTAATTACAAGGGACAAGTGAGAAAACTTCTCATAAATCTAGTCTCCATTTTTTTTATTTTGCATCTATGGTATAAGCCACATCAAAAGCATGTCTAAATAATCAAATTTATCTAAATTTGAATCATGGTTACCTTCACAGCGAGCGAGCTCCTGTTGTTGCTTCTGATCAACTTACAAAACTTTTATTTCCCTCTTTTGTCCTAAATACCATATTTAGAAAACCCTTTAGTTCGATGGATTTAAGGGATTTGGCGGAAGAAGCTTGCGAAAGGTAGAAAATTACCTTCACAGTGAGCGAGCTCCCGTTGTCGCTTTTGATCCCAATCCAACAGGAAGGACGTCGTCGAAGGAGCAAAGTCAAACAACGATGAAGGAGACAATAAATAGTGAACGTCGGTGAGGACCGCGAGCAAGGAACATTAACGAGGGGGTTAGTTGTTGTGGGCGTGGTTGTAGATGAACATACAAGCTAGGTTCAGTGAAAGAAATAAATGAGTTGGATATCAGTTTAGATAAACTTATTTGTAATGGATTTGCAGTGTATTTATGATGGAATTGCGACAGATTTGCAACAAAAAACCTGTCACAAATTTGTGATGGATTTTCGCCGCAATTCCATCACAAATTTTGTGACAAAAATTTTTGCTACAAGATATGCCGCAATTTTATCAAAAAAATTTTCCGTTGCAAAGCCCACCGCAAATATGCTACAAATCATTAGTTTTCCTGTGGAGCATCAAACTTCTCAATATATTTATAGATTCCGTAGTAGACCTTCCTAACGTGAATCCAAATTGATTTTGAGAAAAATTAGTATCACGTTGTAACCTATGCTCCATAACTCTCTTCCATAGTTTTCAAGACTCCATCCAAATTCGCCACTCACTCGATTGTTGAATGACACATTAACTTAATTCCTTTATAATTTACATAATCTTCTGCATCACCTTTATTCTTAAAAATAGGAATCAATACACTCATTCTCCACTCATCTGACATATTTTTAGTCTACAAAATAATATTAAAAAGTTTATTAAGCTAAAATTTCTTCATCTCTTAAGCATTTCCATACAACTATTGGATATCATCAAGTCCAACAACTTTTTCACACTTCATTTTCATTAATGCCTCTCTAACTTTGGTCTTATTAATACATTGATGGAAACAAAAATTTTAATTTTATTTTCATTTATGATGCTAAGGTCACTAAAGTCAATTATATTCTCACAATCTTCATTGAAAAGTTTAGCAAAATATCTCATCCACCTGTGTTGAATATACTCTTTTAATAAGAGCACTTTTTGTCTTCATCCTTATTGCACTTCACTTGAACTAAATCTTTACTACTCCTACCTCTTTGTTTGGCTAACTTATACATAAATCTTTTAATCTCCTTAGTATCTAATCTATTATATAAATCATTAAAAGTTAAAATCTTTGTATTGCATATTATTTTCTTAGACTTCTTACAAGCCTCTTTATATCTTTATCCTTTTTAGAGTTTTTATATCTAAATTAATTTTATAATAAATCTTCTTATTTTATCTTTCTTACAAATTTTGATTGTACCACAAACTTTTATTTTTAAACTCACTCATGGGGCCTACGTATTAATATTCAAAATTCGGTTACAAGGTCCTTATAAGGAACCTCCAGCTCACTAATGCTCGAAAGAGCTACAAGTAAAAAAGTAAAATAAAAACCCATGAGCCGGTGGTTCCTTTTTCTACAATTACAAAAATAATGCAATATTAACCTAGGTCTTTGAGTCAACATAACCCAAAAAAGGAAGCACATAATGATGACATTCCGCTCAGTCTTCCTGCAAAAAAGCCAGTAATAATATCCAATAATGGCTAACAACCAAAATAAACTAACCTTGCACGCCAAACAGCTTTTACGATGAATAGTGTATAACTTCCTGCAAGTATATATCACAAAATTCGCATAGTAAGCATAGAAAAAGACATCATTAGAAACCAAAAAACTACCTGCAGGAATATACGAATTGTTCCAGAGGATAATATCAGCACAGCAGAACAAAACAACCCCCAAAAAATAATGATCAGCAAGAAAATTTTTGACAAAACCACCTTTCCAATGCTTATAACCCAAGAGAACGATTAACCTGAAGGCATTTAAGATAAAATTTCCATCCTGAAAGAGATAACATAAGGTAAAGACACACCAGAAATTCCCCAACAAACATTTTATAGTCTCCCAACAGAAAAAGGGCAAGCAAAAGCCAGAGACAGCTCCCTTGTCTAGAAACACAGAACAAAACAAAACAGACTCCAAAAGAAACACTAGAACCAAAAGAAAACAGCAGAAGTAACAGCAGGATAACACCCAGCTAATAGAAAATAAGAAAGAAACAGCCCAGAACCGAAAGACCCAAACAACAAAAACACACCCATCAAGTTCCCCTAGTGTAAGGAAGCCCCAGATTATCACGCCTAACCAAACCCAGCAACTGATCAAGAAGCTTATCAATCTCAAAAATAATATCATTACTAGAGGAGCAACCAAATTTCGCTAACCAGTCAGCACATGCATTGCCTTCTCTGAAGATATGATTTACAGTTAAGATGGAAAATTCAGTAAATCCGCAGTATTTCTATCTCATTAGAAAGATTCAGATGACTATGTCTGATTGTACCACAAACTATTTTAACTATTGGAGATTTTTTCCTTTGATACTCCAAACATATATTTTGCAATATTCTTAATATCATTACCTATTTTTTCCCAGATAACATTACGTTCCTCATGTATAGATAAAATCTTAAGATTTATAATCTTACTTTAAAAAATATTTAGGTTTTAGATTTTTTTAAGTGCCTTCATCTAATTCTAGAATAACATTTTATTTTATTTTTTATATTTTTTAGTGACTTTTTTTTTAAATTTCCTAGAACAATGTTTTATAGTAGCTTTTGTTCATCTAAATTAAATACATTTAGACATTTGATACAAACATTTAATTTCTCACAGCCATCAAATTTCTTTAAAATACCTTCTAATTTATTAAAATTTTATTTAAAAAAAACAATTAATTAGAAAAATCTCCTATTTGATATTTTAGGAGTCCTATGACCCAACATTTTCCTATTCTCACTAATACACTTAATTGAATTAATCTTATAATCAAAATTATCTTCTCTTTTCGCTGACTGCATGAAGTTTGATTTAAATCAAGCAATTTCTACTTAGCCTCATAAATAGGAATTAAATCAATTTAATTTGGATTTAATGTTCAAAGAAATTTAATATGAATGGGTGTTAAATTCATTCAAGTAAAAGTATAACATTTTACATTTTTACTTTAGGATTTAGTGATTTATATAACTTTTATATTTCTTTATTTTTATTTTGCCTATATTAATATTAATTAATATTAAAAATATTTATTATTTAATAATTTTTAAATTAATAATATCTAATTAGATCTAAATATATTAAATTAAATATTAATATTAATATCAGACGCCCCAGTATCATGCGAGTGGTTTTCGGCTCGAATTGGTTAAATGATAAAATACGCCAGCTGAAAAAAAAAATGCTAACAAAGGAAGGCCCATTGTTGCTATTACTTTTTTTTTAATGTTATTGATTAATTAAATTATTTTATAAATATTCTTACTTTAAAAACTTGTCCAATTGTTTATAAAATTTGTCCTGGGAACATGACCCAACTGTATACACAAAGACTTGAACCCTGAACCTCTTAGTTGGAAGCCTAAGTTCTCAACCAATAGGCCAATCATGCAGGTGAGATACAAATGTGTATATATATAAGGCATTTTATTATTGGCACGCTACGGATAAACTAAGCACACAGCAGTCTCTCGGAGCACGTGAACCGCACGCCGCCATGTTTGCTGCAATTCCACTGCCCCGATCATCATGATCTATTCGTTGTTCGTTGGCCGTTAAGCTATACTCGTTCCTCGCTACCTTTCTCAATTTCTTTCTCAATTTGCCTCTGAGATCCCATTATCACTCCCCCACATGTGTTAATACTCCAACACATGACGACGGAGCTGAGCTAATCAATTTTATTAAACTTCAGGCTATATTAAGTCCATTTGGTAGTTATAGGGCTAAAGAGATGTACTGCTTTCTTGTTTTGTGTGTAGCCTATTATGCTGCTTCTTTTTTACTATAAATAGGTAGTCAATGCTTGTAATAAGGAACATGGTTATTGGTTGAGATGAATAAGAATTTTGTAGCTTGTGTTTTGGGATTTTGTATCCTGATGAATTTCAGGTGGTGATCCCACTTCTAAGAAGGAGTTCTTGGATCTTATGTGAGCTGTGAGTTCCTGCAACTCGCATACTCTTGTCTGTCGCCGTCGCCTCCGCCGCCGGCGTCAACACACCTCACTTCTCCTCTGTAAATAATCACGAACACAGAATAACAGCAAAAGCAGAAGCCAGCAACTGACTATCCACGCCACCACTGTCATTTCCGGCATCTCAAAGATGAATCCCCTCTGTAACCTCTGCGGGGCTCGGCGAGCGCTGATTTATTGCAAATCGGACCAAGCCCGCCTTTGCCTTTCCTGCGACGCCAGCATTCACTCCGCCAACACCATCTCCAGCGGACACATCCGTGCTCAGCTCTGCGACTGCTGCAACTCCCATCAAGCCAATTTCCTCTGCCACGATGATCACCTAGCTCTCTGTAGTCTCTGTGGTCTCGCTGTCGACCCACGCCGTTGCATCCCTGTCCGCTTCTACTCCGATTGCCCTTCCTCGGCCGAGCTATCCGCCATCTTTCTTGCTGCTTCCGACCCTACAGTAGCCAACTACGCCTTATGGAAGGTGCCCTTCGTATCCAAGGCGGTGCTTAGCGGGTTGGCAAACCCAATGGAAATTGAACCCACCTGGATCCCCTCGACTACTTCGTGCATTGCTCCTGATTTGATATCAGTTTTTCCTAGCGGCGAAGGCCAAGCCCTATTCTTACCACAGGATTCCAACGTGCAAAACGTACGTGTTCACTCTTGCTCCTCTTCTGACTGATGATTGGATCTCTCTCTCTCTCTCTCTCTCTCTCTCTCTCTCTCTCTCTCTCTCTCTCTCTCTCATTCTATCATTGTAATAGGAAGAAGGTAGCTTGCTATATTACCGACAATTAAGTAAAACCCTTTACTGTTAGATTGCTTGCTTGCTAGAGTTCATATGTGCAAGGCTAAAAGTTTTCTTAAAATCATAACATTAACGCAGACAGATAATTCTAACTCTTAAAAAGCACAATCATAATATGAAAATTAAGATTGTTCATTTATTTTAATCCTTTTATTAAAAAGGATTGCTCTACCAAGCAAATAATTCACAATGATCAACCAATTATGTAAGATAGACATAATGAGCAAAAAAAATTAAAAGAAATAAAAGCTATAAATATAAAAAAAAGGCAAATCTGAAAGAAAAAAAAAAATTGAAACTGATGTGCACTAGAAAATGATTATAAATTTAAAAAAAGTAGTAACATTTGGTAATATGATAATCAACCTACTCAAATTAGTTAGATTTGATCTTAAATCTCTGAAATTAGATAACTGTCAATATATTAATTTTATCTTTTAAGTGTTAAAAGGTGGTTTAAATTAGTTTAGAAATTATGTTATATAAACATTCGGTAAGATGTTTAAATAAATATTTCATAATAAGGATGCAATTTATTTGTTGATAAAAAAATTGGTAATATGTTAAAAAAAGGTATAAAACTTAATCAAGTATATATTTCTCATCATATTAAAGTTAATTTTAATTTTAAGCGAATTCATATTTTTCTTTGAAAAAAAATTTGTGTTAAGGATTTGACGGCCAAAAAATGTTCAAGATGGAGCTCAAATTAAGCTCTTAGACATGCTTTGAAATTTATTAATATTAATTACCCTATCAAGATAACACTATTTCTTGCAAGCCAATGACAAAAATAATTATTTGAAAGTATTCATTAATGAAGTTGGTATTCCATCTTGCTTCCCGAATTCTAATTTAATATTTCTGTTTATATATATATATATATATATATATATATGCAGTTGGGTTGTACTCCATTAAAGTATTTTGTGATGGGTGCTGGGCATAAGCTACCTGATGGTCTGGAGATTGGTGAAGGAGAATTTAATGTAGACCACAATGAAATGTTTGGAGGGCAGCGACTAAATGCCAATTTACCCGTTCATGATTTAGTTTCAAGTGAAATGTTTATGGAGAATAACTTACCAGTTGCAGATTCCAATTGCCACTTGGAAAATGTTGTCCAGGTTTTCTTCAATCGTAGCCTGATGCTACTTCAATACATTTTCTTCCCTTAGTATTTTCACATGGAATTCTATTTACAATCATTCTTTAGCTACTAGACATTTTACTTTAAGTTGATCCATTACTGCATATAGAAGTCCTTAATTATACTGTAATTAGACCATTTCAGGCAGTTCTTAAATTTTCTTTGTAACACAGGCATCATCAATGCCCCACGATGGTTTGCATGCTCTTCCATCTTGTATGGTTGCAGTTTCTAATTTTGTGCAGGCAGCAAATGGAGATGCAAATCAGTTACTACTTGACCAGAGTGGCAATGTGAACATTAATTTGAGTTTTCATCCTCCAAATGCCAGCCCAAATATGCCTTTTTTGCTATTAAACCCAATTACCGGTGATAGCAGTGCAGCCCCTTACCAGGACCATGGCGTATCACCCATAATCCTTCCTGAAAAATTAACATGGAATTCAAATAACGAAATTAGATTTTCACGGACAAGGAATGAGGCAAAGATCAGATATAATGACAAAAAGAAAAGTCGTCTGTAAGTTCTCAACGTTATATGCTCTAAGGTGTACATATTTCCATGTGTAACTGCTGCTTCTAGAGTTTCAAAATTTTCCTTTTTACAAAAGATTGGATTCTTTAGCTATTCATGCTTTCTTCCATGCAATTCTAACAAAAAGCAAGTTATGGCATATTAACTCCTGTCAAAGTTACCTTCGATATATATATGTACATCATCATAATCATAAATATCATCATGATCATAATCATCGTTGTCATGTTCCTTATTACAACAATTTGGGGTGTTGAATCAAGTACATTATTGATGCAAAATGATCATATACATGCATGGCACATTCCATTTCTATTTTTTTGCATTCACGTTCTCCGTTTTTACAATGCCTTCTTCGAAACATTTAATAAAAAATAAATTTAACATTTAAATAGCTTATCTACATCATTAAAGAAAATTTCACTCGCATTTTTGTTTGCATGTGATCTTTAAAAATTTCTATATATTACCTAGCTAGCCTTATACTCGATCAGATACAACATGTAAGGTTATAGACTATAAGTTGTGCCTTTTTTCCATGAGAATATGAGATAAAATAAAAATAATAATAATAAAGAATCAACTAACAAGAAAATGATTTTAACTAAAGATATAGAAAAATAATTAAAAAGCACGATTAAATAATATTTAATCAAAAAAATGATTGAAAATTTCATGTAAATCTCTAATAACATAAAAAATTTAATTTAAATATACATAAGATTTAGAAAAGTTATTAAAAATATATAATAAGTCATCAAAGAAACAATTACATCATAATAAAATACGTACTTAATTAAGTTTTTAATGAATTGTTTATTAAATAATATAAAGAAAAAATTACTCAATATTTAAATTTATTCATTCACAACGGTGATATAAACAATTATTTAAAAGAACAAAATATAAATAAATTTTAGCAAAGTAAATATTTAGTAATTAATTTACTGTATTTATTGAATTTGTAAACGATAAACCAACTCTTAGGATAACAGAATGCGTTGGCCTGCCTGTAATCTTAAGTACTCCTACTTGAAAATTTTTATAGTTCAACATAAGAACTGCTAGTCCTTAGATTATGGCGTAACTAATAAAATTAATAGGTGTATTATAATCTTCTTTCTTTCAGGTTACTCATCTCCAGCCTTATTTTCTATTCAGAAGTACTTAACTTCACAAACATGTGCTCTAATGGATATTTTTTGTACGTATTTACTATAGGTACGAGAAGCGTATCAGGTATGCTTCTCGTAAAGCAAGTGCAGATACCAGGAAGCGTTTGAAAGGAAGATTTGTAAAGGCCGGTGACGCTTATGACTATGATCCTCTTCTAATGAAAATGTAGCTGAGCCATATATATATCTTGAGTAGCCTATTTTATTCTTAGGTAAAGGGGGCTTTTATTCTTATTAATCATTACTCTTTCTTTTAATTTAACATTTGCTATATATTGTTAATAAATTCAAAATCTTTAATCATATTATTTGTGTGGATGTGTCTTTTCATTTGTGTGGATGTGGCTTATTTTCTTAGTTAAATGTAGTTAATTGTAAGTGAAAGGATGTGTGTGAAGTGATGTTTCATTTGAAAGTGAAAGGGTGTGTGTGAAGTGATGTTTCATTTAAATAAAATAGTTGTAATGTGAGTATGAGATAATTAATAAAAGAAAAAGTTTGTGTTTCTACTTCTTCCATTTTCTCTTCTTCTTCTTCTTCCTTTTTTTTTTTTTTCACTCATGAGTTGTATTAAAGGGAGGGTGGCAGTAATTTACAAATGAATTTTATTGGAAAAAAAAAACTTTATTTCATCATTTGTAAAAATATATGAGATAAATTAATTTAACATTTGTTATATATTGCAAAATATCAGAAGTTGTTTGTTTCCTTGGAAATGCAGCAAATAGTAAATGCATAAGCTTATAAGGAAATGTAATAAATTATTTTCTTTACTGAAGTTGAATTTTTTCTCTAGATCTAGTAGTCTATTTTATTTTATTTTGTTTTGTTCTATTCAGAAATGATGATGACAGATACAACAACAACAACATCAAGCCTTTGTCCCACTATGTGTGGTCGGCTACATGAATCCTATTTTGCCACATGAATCCTATTTCGCCATTGTGTCGGGTTAAAAGTGAAATTCCCATCTAAATCTAATAAAGAAAGATCATTTTTAATATTTTCTAACCAAGTCTTTTTAGGTCTTCCTCTACCTTTCTTAACATAAGTCAAATCTAATACCTCAACTTTCCTAACTAGGTCATCGAAAGGCCTTCGTTTCATGTGACCAAACCATCTAAGACTACTCTCTCTAATCTTATCTTCCACTGGAGCTACTCTAACCTTTTCACGTAGATGCTCATTTTGTATCTCGGTTTTGATAAATTATAAAAATATACTGATATTTGATAAACAATCTTCTCTTTTTACTGATGTCTATTATTATGGTAGGATAAGTTTGTGAGAAGTAAACTCTGAACTTTGTTATGTATTTAAATCATAACCTTCATAGAGTGAATCGCTCGTACTGCTACAGTCGAAAACCTTTCACTTTTTCTTTACCCTTCGTATCATTGGTGACTCCAAAGTTTAATGTTCAGGCATGTGTGCTAAATTAGCTCGGTTGCTATTCTCTTTAATACAATCTGAGCCCAGGTGAGAGTGTATTCTTATTCAACTAAAGGTTTTACATTTTGTCGGGACACCCTGGATCATAGGAAAATTTGAAACATCGAACAATTAATGAATCTAATTTCTAGCTCAATCAATTACAAGATGAAATGTTAGGGGTCTTCATCAAGGCTATATGATTGATTAAAGTTGGAAGCCGACTCATCAGTGGCTCTCTGGTTTGCCAGTTTGAAACTAAATATATGAGAGTCTTCACTTATTTCCTTTCATCTTTTCGATAAATTTAACATCTTTTATGAGATTTGATTCATAAGTTTGAGGTTCATTACAAGGTTAGCGTGATTTTGAAATAGAGTTGTGTCAATATTTCAGTAAACTCTGTGATCATTAACACCCCTTTGATGTCCAAATTTATTTTTTGTTGATCAATGAAATGGATTTGAGACGTAGACTGATGATGATGGTTAATTTGAGAAAAGATGGATAACATGGAAGGAAGAGAGAAATAAAAAGAGAATGGTTTTGATATCACTATATAAAAATATGCAACTTTTATTTCATAATGGAGATTTTATAACACCGGGTGAAGAGAAAGAGAATTCAAGTGTAAATGCCTTATTTTAAATTAAAAAAAAAAATTACATGATTGGTTCATTCGATGCCAAATAGTAAAAGAGATTTAAAGTCATGGAGGTTGTATGATTCCCTCTCTAAGGCCATTTAACCCTGACAGAAGATTGGCTCGAGGCCATTCTATCTAAACTCAAGTAGATCTAAGTCTAGTTACATGATTGGTTCATTCCAGCCAACTTATCTTGTTAATGATTCAAATAAAAATTGATATAGTCTCAATTTATTTTTTTTAAATTTCCTGGCAAAATTTCAGTCCAACATATATATGCATATCCATGTGTATGTAATAGACAAACTCACGGTGGACTAGCTCGTTACATTTTTGTACCCGGTGCTCCTTTGTTCCCAATGCAATCTTTTGGATTTAGTTTTCAACCGTCGAACTCGTGCAGGCTATTCGCTATTGCTTGCTCTTATCATTGATCGATTGCACCATTACATTAGAGAGGTACGTGGGTTGAGAAAAAGCATGGAAGCTGCAATGAAGCAAACCAGGGAATTAGAAGAAGCAAAAAGTGGCGGTTTTGACGAAATCAAGACTCGCAACAAAGAGATTGGCAAGTTGAACGAACAAGTCCAGCAACTTAAAACAAAAAATGTGAAAAAACTGAAGGAACTAAAAGCAGCAGAAGCCAACACTACAGTTCTAAGGAAACAGTCAGAGGGCTTAGAATCATTGGATGGAAGAGATGATAATGTAGTATGCCCAAGTTTAGAGAGTTCGTACCTTTGCGAGCTTCGATGGTGGCGGTTTAAAGATGCACAGTTTGCTTTCCCCCCGCTCGGGGGTACTTATGAGTGACCCCGCCTCGCCGTAGGTGCCGCACCGGGGTCCCTTCCCACCACGCGCAATAAAGGCGTGTATAAAGACAAAAGTATGTAGTAATTTACTATATTAAAGCATATGGACTCAGAGTAAATTATAGAAAAGTTATTAAAAATATATAATAATCCATCAAAGAAACAATTACATCATAATAAAATACCGTACTTAATTAAGTTTAATGAATGTTTATAAATAATATAAAGAAAAAACTACTCAATATTTAAATTTATTCATTCACAACGGTGATATAAACAATTATTAAAAGAACAAAATATAATATAAATTTAGCAAAGTAATATTTATAATTAATTTACTGTATTTATTGAATTTGTAACATAAACCACTCTTAGATTACAGAATGCGTTGCTGCCTGCCTGTAATCTTAAGTATCCTACTGAAAATTTTTATGTAAACATAAGAACTGCTAGTCCTTAGATTTGGCCGTACTAAGTAAATTACTAGGTGTATTATAATCTTTCTTTTTCTTTCAAGTTACTCATCTCCAGCTTATTTTCTATCAGAAGTACTGCTAACTTCACAAACATGTGCTTCTAATGGGAGTATTTATTTTACGTTCTTACTATAGGTACCAGAGAAGCGTATCAGGTATGCTTCTCGAAAGCAGTGCAGATACCAGGAAGCGTTTGAAAGGAAGAATTTGTAAGGCCCGGTGACGCTTATGATACTGATCCTCTCTAATGAAAATGCTAGCTGACCATATATATATCTTGAGTAGCCTATTTTATTCTAGGCTACAGGGGGCTTTTAATTCTTATAATCATTATAACCTCTTCTCTTTTATTTAATCATTTGCTATATATTGTTAATAAAGTTCAAATCTTCTAAGCAAAATATTCTGTGTGGATGTTCTTTTCATTTGTTGGTGGATGTGGGCTTATTTTCTTTGTTTAAATGTAGTTAATGTGTAAGTGAAGAGATGTGTGCGTGAAGTGAATGTTTTCATTTTGAAAAGTGAAAAGGTGTGCTGTGAAGTTGATGTTCATTTAAATAAAATAGTTGTAATGTGAGTATGCAGATAATAATAAAGAAAAAGCTTGTGTTTCTACTTCTTCCATTTTCTCTTTTCCTTCCTTCTCGTTTATTTTTATTTTCTTTCTTTCACAATTTTGGGATTATCAGAGCTCATGGCAATTCTGGCAAGTTTTCCGATGGGATCAAATCCCACTACTTATATATAATTAACTATATATAATAGTATAATAAGTAGTTAATATAGTAATAATTACATCGTACTTTGTAATCTCACTGCGTGATAAGGCTTTGAGTTGCGAAAAGCACGACGGCTCTCCTAGGCTATTGGTGAGGGCTTAGACTTCACTAACAGTCTAGGATTCGAGTCTATGTCTAATACGTTAATGTGTGTGAATTTCTCTTAAATGACTAAATGTTCAAGAAAAAAAAAGGCTGTTGAGTTGGGTCATGTTCTGTGACCAAATTTATTTTTTAGGGTGGCTAATTTTAGCTTTGTTAATCAAATTTTAACCACCATTCAGCTGAGACTATTTAGCTGATAATGTTTCTAAATATGTAATTTAATAAATTATTAATTAATAAATATTTATTATATTTAGCTAATATTACTATTCGGGAAAAAACAAATAAAGAAATGTAAAAGTTACAAATAAACACTAATATCCTAGAAGTTAATTAAAAAGTAAATATTTATAAACCTTTGAATTTAACAACCCATTCATTTCAACTATATTTGAAGATTAAATGCC